ATTATTCGCCGCAAAAGATTATCAGAAGAATAACATTGGTCACCGAATAATAATTACTATATATGGATAATCCATATTACTATTTTTTATAATCACATACATCCTAAAAAATCTCTTAACAAACTTCAGAAAGATTTATCAAAATCAGAATAATCGACTACGAAGAGTATATTTACATACATCATCACAGAGCATTTTATATATAAGATATACATTTTTTCGAAGTATAAAGAATTCTATATATTTTTCAATTGCAATTTTTGACCAATAATTATTATGAACTGTATATTATTAGTCAAAAAATTGAAATTGAAAAATACATAAAACTCGTTTTACTTAAAAAAAATGTATATTTTATATATAAAAAATATAAAAATTCTTCTGTAATAATGTATGAATTGATACTCCTCCTAAACGATTATTCGGATTTTGATAAATCTTTCTGAAGTTTGTGAAGGATTTTTTTTTCAGATCGCATGTGATTATAAAAAGACAGCAATATTATAAATAAATGGTAGAAATAAATTGCAAAAAACAATATATTATTGGTTGATATTGAAAACATTTCGACACATGAGAACTGTCATCTGCCAAAAATGTTGATTTACTTGAAATTTGAATTTAGTTCAAGCGAGCCTAGACAATATTATTATATAAAATCCATATTCATGATTATGAATAAGAAAAATGTAATATCTACAATATTATTGCTAAAAACTAGCTGAGACGTGCCAGAAATTAAAATAATATAAGATACAGTGTATGTTTGGCAGATGATATATATAATTTCGTTTAATAAATATATAATTTAGTTTAATAAATAACACAATACGTCCAAAATTACATATACATTATTTTTTTTTAACTGAGGCACATTATATTTTGCTTTTCTTCACTAAATTATTTAAAAAAAAAGAATATTTAAAAAATTCATTTGTTTCATCATGATCTTAGATTGAGCTAGATTTTACAAATTAATTCGCCTAAGATTTTAACTAAAGTAATAATACTTATTAAATTATTAGTAAGAAAAATGTATTTTAGAAATTGTAATTGCAAAAAAAAACTAATATAGGGTACGTACGACGAATTATAAAAATTATAGTCTATATATTATATGAATTATTGAAGCAATTATATTTTTTTTTTTATTTTTTAAATTTTATTTGGTCTCGCTTACTTTGAGCATTTAGCCACCTACAACATTTTTATTTATTTACATTCTATACTAATTTTTATATCATATTCAACCTATATACATATATATCCTATTCTATATTTTTCTTAATTTTTTCTTCTTCTTATTTTCTTCAATTATTGCAAATTTCTAATTCTACTCAACTTCAATCTTCATTTAATTTTTCTTCTTCTTTTTAATACAAGCAAATTCTAATATTTTTTCTTTTTACTCTTAATACAATTCAGTTATTTGAATTTTTGTAGTTCATATTTTTTCTTAATTTTTAATCAATTTCTACTTAATAAATACAATTTTATTTAATTTCAAATTAACTACACATATATTTTTTTTCATGAATTCTTAATCATTGACAGGATTCGATCCTAGGATCCCTGTCGTGTGAATCGAACACGCTACTAAGTGAGCTATGCAATTACATTCGTTGGAAATAACAAAAGTGATAATGTTCTCTTATCGTAGATATTATATTTATTCTTTTTAAATTTTTTATACTGATAAAAAAAACTGTTTCCAATACGTATATGGATTATGCCAAGTCTGTAAATGGAAGGACATTATATAGAATATTAAAATATATAGGATAGGATATAAAAAAATTTGGAACTTAAATTGTAGACATAGGTACAGGACAACGTTTTCTGGGTGAGCTAGTATATATATATATATATATATATATATATATATATATATATCTAGTATATATATATATATTGTATAAATATGTATCTTTTTCTGTCTGTGTATAAATGTGCATATTTTATTTTATTTTATGCAAGAGAAAGGCGACTTCCGATGCAATTATATATCTTATTGTTTAAAATAAGATGAATGAATAGCATTTCCATCCATGTCGGATCTGTCTAATAAAATCAAATAAAATAAAACAAAATCGTAAATGAATTACTTAATTATTATTCCGTTATTCATTTATTCATTTATTACTACCTGTCATAATAATCATATAATTATAAGACGGCGCGAGAATTAAAAGTCAATAGAAAAAGATTTTATGATGCCTATCTTTATTTATTATTGTCTATGGCTTTGTGATAAGATCTTTGACCTTGAAGAAACAAGACTGCAGGTTCTATCCGTGTTTCGGACAGCTTGATATCAAGCAGTAGTGATTTCACTCAAAGTAACAGATCAAATTATCTTTTCATAGTTTGTTTCTGTTATTAAATTCCCTTAGGGTAGTTATAGTAATGGGCCGAAAATCGAAAATGAAAATTTTTGCATTTCTCGACGTTTTGAAGGTTTCTGAACATTTTGGCATATCTCAGTGTGTGTGTGTGTGTGTGTTTTGTATGTCCGCAAATTTTCGTCCACGTTTTCGGGCGCACGGATCAACCCATTTAAATGGTTCAAGAAACATTCGATTTCTATTGATAAGGAGATGTGCTGATTAGTTTTTGGCAAAGGCAGGTCCAGCCGTTACGGAGATATGGAGCAAAGAGTGCAGAAAATAGAAATCGAGTTTTTGACAGAACGGAGTATCGGATTTGAATGATTTAAAAAACTTTCTGCTTGTATTGATAAAACAATTACTTTTGAGGATAAATGGAAAATTATTACATCTTTTTTTATTTTCCATAAAATATTTTTGTAATTTTGGATTAAAAATTCAAAAAATTACCCAGATTAAGCACAGTCTACGCGCTACTCTGGTACAAATATTTACACAAGTGCGTTTAGACTGTTCATGTACTGGAGCACTTTTCCATTTTTTTGAAAACTATTGAAAAATGTGAAAATGCCGCCAAGCTAAGCACAGTATAAGTGAAAATGTCGTACAGAATTATTTGCAAATGCGTTTAGACTGTGACTATACGGGAGAAATTTTTCGAAATGAAATGATGATTGTTAATGTTCTGGAAATAAATTGATTTATGATTTATGATTTACATTTGATTTGGTCAGATATAACAAGATAGCAAAAATAATGAAAGTTACAGTATTTGTAATAATATATTTGAAAACGTTTAAAATTTCCCGAATATTTCATTACGGCATGGGAAGTTCCAGCAATTTGCCTTAAGGCACGATGCCATACACCACTAGTTCTAGTTTGTTTCTGTTATATGACTAATTGTAAGGAGGAACTTGAGACCTACTTGTTTCCGTTTTGTATTCATGTCGTGTGTACTCCAGAATTTGGAGTTACCTAATTTAAATTCTCAACTTTATATAATGAGGCGAATCAAAACAATGACAATGGAGAAGCGTTCCGCTTTTTTTCGGAACAGAGATTTGCATAAAATATAATATAATAATAGTAATAAACACACACACACACACATATATATATTCTTCTATATATATAAAAATAAGTCGGGTTTTCCTTCCTGACGAAATAACTCCAGAACGCACGAACCGATTTCGATCATTTTGCATTCGTTGGAAAGGTCTCGGGCTCCGCAAGGTTTATAGCTAAGAAAATTAGTGGTGCATGGCATCGTGTTCTAATGCAAATTGCTGGAACTTCACGCACCGTAATTGAAAATCCGAGTAATAAAAATAATCAATAATTGTTTAAAATAATTGCAAATAGATTATCTTCTATATATATAAAAATAAGTCGGAATTCCTTGCTGATCAAATTTTTCCTTTTCAAATATAAAGCAAACAAAAAATTTCTTCATCTTTCTCACGAAACCATCTGGTGGCGAAACGGAGTTCGTCTGGTTTGCTAGTATATATATATATATATATATATATATATATACATATATATATACTAGATGACCCGACAGACTTGGTCCTGTACCCACGTCTACAGTTCAAGTTCAATTTTTTTTATGTCAAATTTTGCAATTTTTCTCATTTATTTCTACAATATTACTATATTTTTATAATCACATACATCCTAAAAAATTCCCTTAACTAACACCAGAAAGATTCATCAAAATCCGAATAATCGTTCAGAAAAAGTATTAATATCTGAATTATTTTCGATATACAAAAAAAAAATTCCTTGAAAAAAAAATTTTTTTTGAAAAAAAAACATTTTTTTTCCAAAAGCAATTATTTTGTTGAAACAAGCAGAGAGTTTTTCGAATAATTCAAATCGGACGCTTAGTTCTTTCAAAAACTGCCATTTTTTGCACATTTAGCTCCGTATCTTCGAAATGGCTGGGCCTGCCTTTGCCATATACTAATCAGCACATCACCCTATCAATAGGAATCGAATGTTTTTTTGAATCATTCAAATCGGTTGACCCGTGCGCCCGAAAAATTGTATCCATACATACATACACACACACACACATCCATTTTTTCTGAGGTTGCCAAAATGTTTAGAAACCTTCAAAACATGATCATTTCACCCTACGGGAAGCTAAAAAAGAATGAATAAAGTATTGTCTATATTCTCTATAATTAATTATTGTCAGGACTCTATAAATTAAACAACGCGGTGCAGTATTCTTTAACTTTTTATTATAATATCTCCAACTCTGTTTCCGACTCGCCTACATTCACTCTGTTCGTACTGTCAATATAGCCAACTACACACACAACTCAAGTCTTACCAACCAACCGCACGGACTGTCATGATCCGCGCCATATTCAAACATAGATTCAAACATTCACACAATATATTTCGCTAACAAAAGTGATGTAATAAGCAACAATTGCCTGGTTTAACAATAAATTAATGTAATGTGATGTTTACTGTTTATTTTATACTATTTATACATTCTTTTACATATTTGAAAATAATATTTTATAACCTTTTTCCTAATATTTAAATTCAATTTAAGAAATGTTTACATTTCATTGATTATTATTACATTTTCGACTATAAATTGCCATGTTTTCCTTTGTGAATCAGCATGTGTGTTTTCAAACTACTTGATTGTGTGAATGTTTTATCACAAACATTGCATTGATGAGGGCGTATTCCTTTGTGAATTTGCATGTGACGTTTGAAACTTCCGGATTGTTCAAATGTCTTATTACAAACATTGCATTGATGAGGGCGTATTCCTTTGTGAATTTGCATGTGACGTTTGAGACCACCTGACTCCGTGAATGTCTTTTTACAAACATTGCATCGATGAGGGCGTATTCCTTCGTGAATTTGCATGTGACGTTTGAGACTTCCGGATTGTGCAAATGTCTTATTACAAACATTGCATGGATGAGGGCGTATTCCTTTGTGAATTTGCATGTGACGTTTGAGACCACCTGACTCCGTGAATGTCTTATTACAAACATTGCATCGATGAGGGCGTATTTCTTTGTGAATCAGCATGTGTCTTTTCAGATGATCGAATCGTGTGAATGTCTTATTACAATCATTGCATCGATGTGGGCATATTTCTTTGTGAATCAGCATGTGTCTTTGCAGATGTTGGAATTGTGTGAATGTTTTATTACAATCATTGCATCGATGAGGGCGTATTCCTTTGTGAATAAGCATGTGACGTTTGAGACTTCTTAACTCCGTGAATGTCTTGTTACAAACATTGCATTGATGAGGGCGTATTCCTTTGTGAATTTGCATGTGTGTTTTCAGATAACTTGATTGTGCGAATGTCTTATTGCATATACTGCATTTATGGGGGCGTTCTCCGCTATGCAAAAGCATGTGAGTTTTCATATAACGTTTTGTTTTGATAGTCTTATGACAGATTTCGCATTTTAAAGGGCGTTCTTTGCTATTACTAGGCTTGTGATCGACCATATGCTCTTTTAATTGATCAGATTCTGCAAATGATTGATCACAAATGTCACATTCATAAACTGCTGGCTCGACTAACTCCTGTTTCACTTCTTCTTCGATTGTCACTTCAGAGTTCATGAATCTTTCTAAACAGGTTTCATCATCCTCAGAACACGATTCAGATTTAACAATATCATTAGAAACATCAATATCATCCTGAATTTCGTGTTTAATGTCTTCTTCTAAATATTCTGGCGGTTCAATTTTGATTGCCGGATCATTCATTGACATAATTGTTTCTTCTGACATTTTTAAATATTTTAACTGCTTATACTCACTTACGAAATAATTAAAATAATTCCAAAATTGGCGCGGGCTAAATAATAACCTAGTTTAATCAACAATCCTTTTCAATACCATGATTTCAACTTAAATTAAATTTATTATTTGACATTTGGAGCATAGAGTATAGTTACAGAAAGATGAGACACTTCTCATATCGCTTTCACATTTAACATTGGCGCGCCATTCAAATTCATTATGTTTCTTTATGTCTAAATAATATTAATTTTACAAACGTTTCGAGTCTAGGTTTGTCTCATTATCGGTGTATTATAATTTAAAATTTTAAGACCATTTAAATGAAATTTCCAGCAGCAGAAAAACAGAATTAAATACAAAAAATATAAACCGATAGAAAGTACACACAGATAAATTGTAATAAAAATTAAATTATTTATTTAAGAAAATTACATAGATATATATATATATATATATATATAAATAGATAAATAGATAATAAGATAACTAACTAGAAAAATAACTAGTTGAATACATAGATAAATATATAACTGTTACTGTTTTTATTCAACGTCTAGTATAAAGTTTTGCTGAATGATGGCACACATCCAGTGTCGAAACGTATGACAGTCGTTCCAACTAGTTTATACAAGTTTTACTCTATCATATACTCATATGTGTGCGTATGTCTGTTTATGCTTATATGAAATGTATGTATTTTGTTTTGATGAAATCTCTATCTATCCGTAGGAAGGCAAGTAAGTAACTGTTTTTGCTGTACTTAATGTTAAAATTACAGTTACTTTTCGCAATTACTTTTAAATGTACTTAGGCGAAGCGTTAAAATATATACGCAATTTATATTTTACATCTATATATATACAAATAATAAACCTCATATATAATTTATATATATATATATACAATTAATGATGCCCTTAGAGATAATAACATTTACACGACCTTGGAAAAATAAAGTGCCGTTAATAAACGATTAATAAATGTTAAAATTAACGACTAATTACATAGAATTTTAACAAATATATATATATATATCGTTTTCAACAACTCTACCATCAATATTTATTTCAACTTTCTAAAGAATTCCATTGTGTTATTATTTAATTTTAATCGCGCTTCAGTAAATTTTAAAAATGACAGAAATGTATGAAACGCCAACATTTTCATTAAAAAATTTTAAACAATTTTTGCACGTCTGACGAATTTGTTGAAAAATTATAAATGCGCGGATTGAAATTCTTTCGCGTCAAGTAATTATAAAATTATTTTAACTGCAAACAAATATTTTATTAATAAATAAGCATATGAAAAATTAAAAAGATTTTAACGAATTATCGTTCAACATTGAAAAATTTGCACACATTTGCACTATCACACAAGTGATGCATAGTATTAGAAGTACTATGTAAATTCTTCAGAAGGTTCTTGGACATTGTATGAAGAAAGCATTCTTAACTTCCCGAAGGAAAAGTTTGTTACGCCAGAAAATCCGATTTGCTAATTTTATATTTCGGGGTTTCAAGCCATACTGAATCTAATAAGACAAAATTTGTAAAAAAATATTTAACATTATTTTTTTTCATTTTCTCATTTTACATCTTGTTCATATTTGCATTAATGATGAGACAAATCAGAGTCTCCAAACGCCTATATTTGGAACTAACTCGATGATTTTGATGCAATTTTGTATGTCGACATATTTCTTGGTCTGAAATAACTTACTAAAATATCAATTTCTTATAAATCACATGTACTTATATTACTTTGAGGGGGTATTCTAGTGTAGAAATAAAAAAAAAATCGTTTTTTCATTTCACATTTTCAAAGTTTAGCTATCTAAGAATATGGGTACGAGAAGGTTTTTGAAAATTTGAATTATTTTCGGAGATATAGGCATTTTACTGACCCGGTCTCCAAACTGGTTTGGCAGGGTCTAATCGGACAAAAGGCATTAGGAAGTCATTAGACCAATTTAAGACAGTTATCGTCAGATGAATTATTATTCGATGTATAGGTTCAGAAACTCAGAACAATAATGAATCTCTAAACTCGTTGATATGGATTTTCGCGCCGAAACATGTTCCTTCCCGATCTCGGGTAATTGAAATAGCAACATTTATTGCTGTTTGCATATTCAATGAAGATTTCTTTCCGACTTTAAAAATGACAACCCTTATGGTAATGCAAATTGGGCCAGAAGGTTAAATAGTTTTCTTGAAGTAGACGAAGGTCCGATGCAAGCAGGAAAGGCAGATTAAATAAAAGAAGTATAACATATCATTCTATGACTTTGACAGCAAAAAGCTTCACGCAAAACTTTAAATGCGTTTTTCTCAGAACAGACCTTTTCAGAACTGTTGACACGATTTCTCGAGTTCTACTTGACCGATTTACTTGAAATGTTCAGAAAGTCTTGATTATAGACCTATCTGTAGCCCGAACTAGTATCATCCCCAAATTCCAATTTTTACTATATTTAAAAAATTCGAGAGACTCAAAAAACAGTAAAAAAGATATTTTTTTCAAACAGCCAATTTGTAATTTTTTTTTTTACTGCGATTGCGACATCATTGTAGATTCATGATCTTTTTATTTCTTTTATTTCGGATGGTTAGGAGGGCTGAAATCATGTCAAGACTGAGGTGCCATTTTTTGAGACCCACCACTTCATCAGCTGCTAGTTTCTTCAATTTTCATTTTTTTTATTTTTTAATTTTTGTTTTGTATTTTAATAATATTAATGAACAAGTGGTATAGTAAAATGGATAGTAAAAACATTCATTGCTTTCTTTTACGACACATTAAAAATGACCTAAAATTCATCGCTCTACACTAGAATACCCTCTTAAAACACAATGTCCCTCTTACACAACTAAAATTGTTTGCTGCGCTCCTGATCCTCGTCCGTTTTAAATCGTTTTGCATTTTGTTTTCTAACTCGTCTTTTAAGATACTACCTGGCGAGTATAAATTGAATTGCAGAGACATATAAATTATAATGCACATATTAGAAAAACAATTTGAATTTTTGGAGGACCGGCTTATGAAGTTAAGCTGGGCCCAATAACAAAATAATTGAGAAAGGATAGAATTAAGGGATTCCGTCATAATAACATATTGCTATCTGTAATTCCAAATGAAAACCGATGTCACTGCTGCTCGACATCAGGCTGTTCGAGGCAGATATCGAACCCGGGATCTAGACCAAAAGTAAAAATATAAAAATTGGGTGTTTATAATCTTCTTATATATAAAAATGTATTGAAAAATGTGTTGGTAAGCGCATAACTCAACAACGCCTGCACCAATTTGGCCAATTCTTTTTTAAAAATGTTTGTTCAAGTCCAAGGATTGTTCTTACAGCGAGAAAAAATCGAATAATTGCCGCAAAACCCTAAAAACAGCCCTTTTCTTTTTCACATACAAACGTTTTCTAACTAAAACGTAGAAACAATTTGAGCTTTATTGCTATTATATAAAACAATCACTGTATACTCCTTCTAAACGATTATTCGGATTTTGATAAATCTTTCTGAAGTTTGTTAAGGAAAATTTCTAGGATGTGTGAGATCATAAAGTACTGGGATGTATGTGCAATATTGTAAAAATAAATGAAAAAAAAAATGCGAAAACGACATGTCATTGTTTGCATTGAAAACAAATGAAAACTATCATCTCCCAAAAATTTCAATATACCTATGAACCTAAACAATATTAGAATATGTATAATAAATTTATGGTTGTGAATAAGAAAAATGAAATATCTACATTATTATTGCCAAAAAGCAGCTGAGATGTACCAGAAATTAAAATAATATAAAATACAGTACATGTATGGCAGATTGAATGATATACAAATGAACAGGATATGACAAATAAATTCACTTAAAATATGAAATTAAGTATTAATCAGGGCTGGTCCTAGCTTGAATGCGACACATGCGAAAAATACGAGCGCACGCCTTAGGGGGCGCCAACACAAGATTCGGATATTAAATTTTCAATATAGTTTTTTTTTTCAATATATAATTTCTTTGCTTCTTTTACTAATCATTCCACAATATTTTTAAAATTCGTAAAAAATTCACTTTAAAAAAATAAATGGGAAAATAAAGATGGGCCGAAAGGGCCCATCTTTATCGTGATATCGTGAGGGCCGAATACATACAATTCGGCCCTCACGATATCGATTAGGTGAAGTTTAAGATGCAATATTGAATATCTTAAATAACAAAAAATTAAATTAATTTAATCCAACATGAAGTACCAGTGTTTTGTTATGGTTATGGTTATGTTATACCGTTTAAAAGACTTCAATTTCCAATATAGTGTCGTCATTTTATTTAAGGCAGGTTCTACATTTAACATTGCTCATATTATATATGTATATATATGCATTTTGGCGTGAAGAGTAATTTCAAAAACAATAATTATTATTTTTAGGTCAACGGTAAATATTAGTATATTATATTAAAAAATTGTAGACATGAGTACAGGACAACGTCTGTCGGGTCATCTAGTATCTTATAAGAGTGAATTCTCTCCTTGCTTTATTAATTATTACTATTACATAACATTACATGAACATGTAGGTATGTATGTATGTACGGTGTGCATAAGATGTAAGAGACATCATATCATCCGAGTAAATGAGTAAATGAAATGATGAAAACCAGTTGGCGGTATGTGGGTTACAATATGCCTGTTCTTCTGGGTTCAGTTCAGTTGCATTTGTAAGACTTTTGCAATAATTATATTATTGCAAACGAACGAGTTATTGGGGAAGATTGAGAAACGTTGCCTGGTTTTATTCAATCGATAGGAAATAAGGTATGGAAATATAATATGTGCAATGTGTTACTAACTACAGAATTTGTGTAATTTGCTTTTGAATAATAAGATTTAATCATCAGAAGTCAAAATGGACTTTTATGTATGACCCTTCATTTATAACGAAAATTGAAAATGAAAATTTTTGCATTTCTCGACGTTTTGAAGGTTTCTAAACATTTTGGCATACCTCAGAAAAAATGGATGTGTGTATGTGTG